AAGAACTGAAGACATCATTAGAAAATGAACAATATGAATAGTATCAAAGCAATCGGACTTACAGTTTTCAACAAGAAGTCGAAAATATCACTTTTTACCAAAAATGACAAAAATATTCACCAAAATTAGAGAATTAAAGATATCATTACAAAATGAACAAATCTGAGAGGTCCACATGTAGTACCTATATATGTAATATCAAAGCAATTGGACTTGTGGTTTTTAACAAGAAGTCGAAAATATCACTTTTTACCAAATATGACAAAAATATTCACCAAAATTAGAGAATTAAAGATATCATTACAAAATGACCAAATCTGAGAGAGTTCCACATGTAGTACCTATATATGTAATATCAAAGCAATTGGACTTGCGGTTTTTAACAAAAAGTCGAAAATATCACTTTTTACCAAAAATGACAAAAATATTCACCAAAATTAGAGAATTAAAGATATCATTACAAAATGAACAAATCTGAGAGAGGTCCACATGTAGTACCTATATATGTAATATCAAAGCAATTGGACTTGCAGTTTTCAACAAGAAGTTGAAAATATCAATTTTTACAAAAAATTACAAAAATATTGAAGATATCATCATGAAATAAACAAATCTGAGAGAGGTCTACCCAAGGTACATATACACCAAGTATGAAAGCATTCAGGCTTGTAGTTTTTAAGAAGAAGTCGAAAAAGTAAAACATTGACACAGACGATGGACGGACAATCACTCATATGATAAGCTCCACTCAACAAAGTCAACAGCGGAGCTAAAAATATATATGGGTATATACAGGTGGGTTAGCCATAGAGGGCACCACCACCTTGTCACACCAGTCACCAAATTTCCCATGTCAACCCGAAGGTGGTAAAATGGCATTAAAGCAGTAGATTAAATGTGGGACACAAGTATCAGGTACCTATCATTAAACAAATAAACTATCAGAAGTTTTATAAGTTTAACTCAAGGTGTCTGACAATTTTAAAGTGCATATTGTCTTTGCACTTAAAACACACTCACTACCTATAATAGCATTGCCCTGCAACAAAGAGGCCAATAAAATATAAATTTTATTCAAAACATTATTTCTGGGTAACAACATACAGATGCTTAAAAGTAATTATTAAAAACACTGTTACACTATTACATCTAAGTGAACAAAGAACACATTTAATACTTGTATTAACAGATTTGCAAATTATGTTTGTCAGCCTCTCAAATGAATAGCTACATCTTTATATTAATTGCTTTTTTTGTTTTATATTACATGTACTTGGCACTGAATTCAGGCTAACAATGTCAGTAGATGTACAGGAATCGTAATTTAGCTATTTGACTCAGTGACCTGCATCTATCCTAGCATCATCAATACCAGTACTGATTTTTTATTTAATAAGCCAGTGTCTGAAGGGCTGACAAATACATCTACAATTGATTATACTTGATTTATACATGTATTTATTATCTACTAACATTTACTATATTTTAAAACTACATAAATTTATTTATAAAAAATGTTTTTTCTTTTAAAATAAGTGTATTTATATTCATAAGATTATAAAACACTTCTCAACCTCGAAGGTAAGAACAGCATCAAATGTAAAAACAGACTTAAGGTTCAAATAACAGAATGAATCCACAATTCAACAAGTCTGTAAAACATTTATTTATATAACATTAACAATAGTACTGGTATGTTGATAAGTATTAGAATTTAAAACTTACAAACATTCAGAATAAAACTTTCTAAACTTTACATTGCAAGTGGGTAACATAAAAAAAAACTCTTCATAAGGCTTGAAAAATAAAAATAAAAATAGATCTTGGATCAGTTTACAAAACAGAAAGACAAAGTATTTGAAATGTTATACCTGTGTAATGTTTTAAACCGATTAACATTCGTTTGTGACATAGAAATGATAAATTAGAAAAGTTTTAAAAAATAGCTTCCGGGCAGCCATCTTGAATCATTCAACCAAACAGGTAGACATATATGTTTGAAAAATAGTGGATATTAAAAAAGAAGACTTATATTCAAGATTTGAAAATCTATAATAACATTCTAATGTGGCATGTTTGAAATATATAGAATTCTAGAAGAATATTTGTTTACGATACACAAATGCTGGGTGGCATACTGTCAACTATGAGTTGAGTGACATGCCGAAGGACTTCATGAACACTTGTGTTTGACAATATCTGAAAACCAACCAAGACAAAAAAGAAAATTAATACCAGGTCTTGATAAGTATTTGTAACAATCTTTTGTGAATAGAAAATATTGTTAGTGCAGATGAATCACCATAATTGCTTTATTAGAAGCACACACAAACCAAACATTGTTGAACAATGAATCATTAAAATATTACTTATTTTCACCACAGAAACATGTAATGTGCATGCAATATGGTAATATAAATTACCATCAAATTCATTCCAAACAAAATGCTTTTCAACTGAAGAGAAAATAAAATAAAATAAAACAGGTAGTTAATAACACATACATGTATGTTTTGTTTTATCAATGATTTGTTTGAATCTGACAAAGCAAGATTATTTCAGAATTTGTTTATTAGTATTCAATGGTATATTTATTTGTTGTGTATCATGTTAACATGTTCAGTGTACCAGGATAACATGTTCAGTGTACCAGGATAACATGTTCAGTGTACCAGGGTGACATGTTCAGTGTACCAGGGTGACATGTTCAGTGTACCAGGGTGACATGTTCAGTGTACCAGGGTGACATGTTCAGTGTACCAGGGTGACATGTTCAGTGTACCAGGGTGACATGTTCAGTGTACCAGGGTGACATGTTCAGTGTACCAGGGTGACATTTTCAGTGTACCAGGGTGACATGTTCAGTGTACCAGGGTGACATGTTCAGTGTACCAGGGTGACATGTTCAGTGTACCAGGGTGACATGTTCAGTGTACCAGGGTGACATTTTCAGTGTACCAGGGTGACATGTTCAGTGTACCAGGGTGACATGTTCAGTGTACCAGGGTGACATGTTCAGTGTACCAGGGTGACATGTTCAGTGTACCAGGGTGACATGTTCAGTGTACTGGGGTGACATGTTCAGTGTACCGGGGTGACATGTTCAGTGTACCAGAGTAACATGTTCAGTGTACCAGGGTAACATGTTCAGGGTACCAGGTTAACATGTTCAGTGTACCAGGTTAACATGTTCAGTGTACCTCAAACCTACCTTTAACCTTCCATCAGTGTCTACAGACGCAATGCTGCACCTTATTGTATGTAATGACATTGCCTGCAAACAAGAAACAAAATATATTTAATATCTCAGTTTTTCTACATTCTGAATTACATCAAGGATGTGTTAAAAATTTAGGATATCCAGTACAAATTATTATAATGGTGATGTACAGCAAAAACTCAGTTGAGCAATGTAACACAAAAATACAGTATTCAGAACTCAAGATAATTATTAGTGTGTCCTCAAGCAAAATCTCTTTTCAATGTTTATAATTCTAATGATTCATGTTCACAATTTAACTATAGAATATAAGGAAGCTGCAACGGAATGGTTGCCTCCACAAAAAATGAATATCAGTACAGTCTGTGTACAAGGTATGCTCCATCAAGATCTAAAATAAAAATGAAAACTTGCATAATGATATGCTGAGAAGAGTATAACCACGATGTGTGTGTTGCAGTATTTATAGGCATCTGCAGCGCCCTCTAGGAAAGATGGTTTATACTTACAGCCAGTTTAATTTTGAAGTGATAATAAAAATGTTGTTCTATTCCATGTATAAAAGAATTCATCTCTTCATTGGTGAATTCTTCAGAATCTGCATTATGCACACTGTTGACAAAAATACCACAGAATTAGCATCACCAATGTACAAAGTAACACCACTGATTGAAAACAAACAGCACTTACAGTAAGGTAGAGATGCAGTTTATCTGACATGTATTTTAATTAGTTAATTAGGAAACCAAGATGACCTCCCTTGTCGACAAAACTATATATTTTCAGAAAGATTATTGTATGAATTTTAAAATTTTGTTAGTATTTTTTTTATGGACACTGTAGTTTGAAATATGCACAAAAATGTGCTTTTTTGGTCAAAAGTGATTTAAAAAAAATTAGCTTCTAAACCATGCTTCTGTTTCCTTTCAAAATTGATTTATTGGTACATCTGTTTACTATGAAGAAAACTGTCTACCAATTGTCAATTTTGCAGGGCAGCAGCTCAAATTTCACTACTTCAAGTTTATGCATAAATTAACACCCAGGCTAGTTGTAGGATTGTTCAACCAAAAACAATGCCCCGAGGGCGTTTTGAAGATAAACACATCGTCAATCATTTGTTAAAATTTCAAAACAAAAGGTCAAGGCGTCTAGGAGCTATTTTTTTTTTAAAGTTCTGGGATGTGCACTAAAAAGAAACTGAGATAATTGCTAATTTGCATAACAATTCACTCAGTAAGAAGTTTGCTAATACTCATAATTAAAATGGCTGTAACAGTTCCAAATTTAAATGTACTAAAATGTTGTTAAAAGTTAAATATAGTGCATAATATGAGATCCCATCATTTCTTTTTTTCACCATGTTTCTTTTTTATTATTTATGTACAGCCTTGCTAAATCTTGCTAAGCATTCAAAAGAGAGAATGTTTGCACCTGTTATCTATATTTTAAAATCGTTTTTTGAGTATGTTGCACTATTCACAATTCTACAAAATGTTAACAGTCTATAGCCAAGACTGTTTGGATAATAACAAGCAAAAAAAATTTCACTTCCAAGTGCCCACGAACTTGCATCTCTACCTTAAAGACTTAAAATGCAGCCAGGGTTTTCCCTCACAACATACATAAAAGAGCTAAAAAATTATCTTAACAGTAAATAAATAAAGATGACTAATACGCTCTACTGTTATGCAAATTTGCCAAGAACCAATGTTATTGTCATTGATAAAAGCAGCTGAAAATGATAACCAAACAACACGACTTATTAGTCTTTGTTCAGAACAGAATTCCAACAACAAACATGACTTAAATGTTTATTCGGAATATTGGTAGGGAAATACAAGATGGTGAAATGTTAAAATAGCGAAAATGCAAACGCCAGAGAATTGTACATTGAGAGCCATATAAAAAAAACACATATCGTTTGAAAATTGATGTTTGTTTTGTTTTTCAGAAGCGAAAATATATAGAACTGAAATGATGTAATTCCTATCATTTACAACAAACAAGAAACCTCACAGTTGGCTGTTGTTCACAGCTTTACTTGTGTCATCAGTTCTAAACTTTGAAATTGGTTTTCAGTAATCGCTCACCCTTTTCTTTCTATTTACACATGCTTTAACTATAATTTTCGACCCTTGTATTTTTCTTACTATAGCGATTTGACATCCACCAAGAAGAGGAAGAAGAAAATGTGCCAGCCTTTTTACCAGGACATTTTTTCAGATTGGAACAAGGTAGCCAATTTGAATACGTATTTTACCACATCAAGTTTTATAACAATAAATTAGCATAATTAGGTAAAAGCTTACATGTTCTTTTGAATAGTAAGTATTTTCACACACAAGTTGTTAACTTGATAGTTAAATGAAAGATGTGCTATTATCTTATTTTTATTAAAATGTATTACAAGAGAAGTTAAAAATGATTTATGGCACTTGTCAGAATCAGTCACCGATGACAGTATACTAATTATTGTTTTTGAATGGCGTTTGTTCTGACTTTTGTTCACGTTAACATGGCACAAAAGTTTATCATTCATGTAATATTCTTTTTTAGAGAGATCAGTTCTACAAAAACAGCAAACAAATGCCTGTGAAGACAGTCGTAGAAGAAAAGCCAGGGGCAATGTCAGAGCCAGAGGTAGTGGGCGTGGATGTCGTGGCAGATTAGAACTAGGTAATATATATTTTACTGTATTGTGGATTTTTCAGCCATTCAATTGAAAATAAAATATTTCAGGTAACTCATAGAATCTGTGCATCTAAATGGTAGTTTTGATTTTTGCAGTTGTAACATTTAGTAATTTTATTTTTGTGTATGGTTTTCATCAGGCAGTGAAGCTGAGCAAGAAACTCCATTAAGTGTTCCAGCAAGGGGAAGAGCCAGAGGCCGAGGCAGACCTAGAGGTGGTGGCAGAAGAGGAACAGCAGCAAGGGGCAGAAGAGGAAGGGGCACATCTGAAAGGGGAGGACTGCAATCCATAGTACCCTCTAACACACAGCATTGATATGCTAGAGTCGTTGAAGACCTTGAACAGCACTTGTTTGTAAGTACTAGCATGTATACTTCCAGTAGTTTACATTCACCACAAAAAGCAACTGATATACCCTCCAACTAATTAATTTTTCTAATTTGATCATCTCCCTGTCAAAAAAAACAGTTTTGATTCTATTGTTATTCTACTATACACATGAAGACATACCAAATCGATAAATAGGTGCAAATATTTAATATGTCTAATATATAGGAAACAAAGCAACATGTAATTCTACAGTGGCTATTATTGGTGTTATTTTGCATTCATATTATGTAATATTTTATTTAGGAATTAATAACACATATGACAACAGATGAGGTGAGAAAGCTAGCATTGGACTTGGCTATTGCCCATCCTGGGTTAGTTTTCAACCTTGCAAAGCAAGCAGATCCATAACCAGATAATCCAGCTACTAGAATGGATGTGCCATGGTGTGTTTGTGGCAACTGCAAACAAATGCCAACAGAAGCAGAGAGAGTATGCTGCAGTTACAGAGAAGATTGTCTTTCATTATGGCCTGTCAGTAAACATACTTTTATTTCAAAATGTACTAATGTTAATATTCTAAAGTTACTGCACTAAC